AGTCCATACCAATGGGAACTATGAGAAGATCTAGAGATGTCCAAAAAGTAATATTACAACTTGTCAAAGATGACATCCTATTTTGTTCCCACAATTTAATGCTCTAATGGGTGCCCATTCATTAGAAAACTCATCTTTTTGGAAGTTCAAGAAGTATGTTAGCCTTGTCCCCACAGAATATTTTCCCAAGAAGCTTCAGCTTTACTAATTTGTGCAGTTGAAAACACGATTTAAATTTGGTTCTGGCCAGTTTCATACATGTATACATAAAGTGCTTTGTGGGACTAGAAAGATGACTTAACATGTAAGATATAAGGGCTCTGACTGCCCTTACTGAGGACTGGGGTTTCCTGGACCTATGTCAGATGGTTCAGTTCCAGAGGATGCATTGTTCTCCTGGCCTGCATAGGCACATGCCTGTACATGGGGCACATAAAGTCATGCAGATAGCTTGAGTCTAGGGTTCTTAATTCAAGTCTAAGAACTTTTCACAGTAGACCTACCCCATCATTTATCTGTATTTTAAGGAAAATCTGTCTCATTTCTCTAGACTCTGCCTTCAGAGCTGTAGTGTGTACAGCAATCCCTGCCTACCTCCAGATGGTCCTACCATGTACTTCAGGGATGCAGGGACAGAGCATTTCATTTTGACATCCTGCACAGATGAAAACTGAACATTAAGTCTACGCAGGGCTGATGAGTTGCCTGTCCACATACAGATGGTTCATGTGCTTTACACTCTTGCAAATAAGATCATTTCCTCCAAAGAGAAGAGAAAGTTTTCACCTTGTAAAACTCAGTTGGGGAAGGTTGACTTTATCAGTCTCATCAAGTGTTCTTGATGGGTAGACAGATTTCTAAATCTGTCATCACATGTATAGTGATGAATCTGAAATGTTGAACTCGTCTTTGGCAGGAGAAGATGGGCTTAGATGGTGAGGACAGACTGCCTAGTGTAAGGTCCACTGTAAACCAGTCCCTACTTGTGTCTCAGTTCGTTTTCCTTAATCCTAAAGGGAAGCCTAAAGAGAATTTCCCACATCTCAGTAGGAAAGTGCATGCCAGGGATTCTCTAGTTTAGTCAATTATTCATTCAACAAATACTTGTTGAAAGTCTCCCTGAGTGTTTTTAACTCTCTCTCTCTCTCTCTCTCTCTCTCTCTCTCTCTCTCTCTCTCTCTCTCTCTCTCTCTCTCTCTCTCTCTCTCTCCTGTCTCTGTCTCTCCATCTCTCTTTCATCTGTCTCTGTCTCTCTCATCTGTCTCTGTCTCTCTCTCTCTCTCTTGTCTGTCTCTGTCTCTCTGTCTGTCTGTCTGTCTCTCTCTCTCTCTCTCTCTCTCTCTCTCTCTTTCCATTTACAAAATCCCTCCCCCTTCTAGTGGAATATATGCCATTATAAATTTCACCTGGCTACTACACAGAAGGTAGGATGGCTGGGTGATCTTTTGCCCTTGGTACAGACTGCAAATTCTGTACAATAACCAGCTCACCCCCCAACACAAAGCATTCAAGAGACACTAAGTAAAGTGATGTAATGAAAACAAAAAGCCCAGGTTTTTTATTGTTCTGTTGCTGCTGTCTTTGTTTTTCCTGGCCACACATTTGTATTCCGTTCCTCACCCTGTTCTCCTTACTGCTTGAGGCAGAGGGAGTGGGGAAGGAAAGAGAATTCCCCAGACAAAACACTGGCAGATGGAGTGGAGAGGCTCCCCTAGGACACTGGTAGCAAGAGAAACTGAATAGCAGAGTCCACGGATGTTATTTTTAAATGAGACATACAATAGCTTTGTCAGCATAATGTTGGAGAAGAAACAAGACATACTCATTTTTCCTCTCCTTCTCCTTCCTTCCCTCTGTCCCTCCTCCCCTTTCCCTTCCTCTCTCACTCATTCATTCTTGCTCTCCCCCTTTCTCTCCTTTCCATCCCACTTCCTTTCTCTTGAAATCTTTTAGGTTATGTGTATTTATTTAACGGGACAGAAGTAGGTGGCGGGGCGCATTATGGAAGGAAGTTAGATGCAGTTTGGAGGTGTCAGTTCTCTCCTTTCACCCCGTGGAAGGATTGGATAAGGACTTCAGGGCTTGACATCAAGTGCCTTTTCCCAGTGAACCATCTCTCCTGTCTGAACCTTTCTCTTTTAATGCTTCTCTATTTTAACGCTTGACTATTTTACTGTCTAGCTGTGTAACTCTTCTCCTGACCGTGTCTGTCTCTCACTCCATCCACTATGATTCTGGCTCTAATCAAATTTATCATGATCTTAAATCCAATCATACAGAAGTAAGCCTTTAAAAGAACATATCCTTAGTGTATTTTTCTACTGTACTGAGAGGCCTCGCCTGAGGAACTTAATTAAATCATCTCAGAAGGTAGATATTATGTAATCTTATTGTAATGTCTCCCTCCCTGTCTTCACATTGGAGGGGGAAAAAGGTGGTACCAAAGTCTGCCAACCTCATAATCTTATCTTTAAGGGGTCATATTTTATCATTCTGTGAGTTCCGGGTACGGACGCGATCCCTGTGCTAGACATAAAGAACAGAGTTCTACCGTACTTCTCACCCTCATAGCAGCTGTCTCTGTGACCTAGAATTGGACATTATAACTTGCTGCAGATGCCTGCATTGGGTTTGGACTTACAGTGGATTTCTCTTGGGTTGGATTTTAAGTTTTATTGTATCTGGTCACTGTGAAGCTGTGGGAAGTGCTGACCTTGTATTCTTTTCATGGTAAAAGTACCTGGAGTCCTGGTCACTGCAGCTTTCAGCTGGCCTACACCCATCGTCCAATAATTCAGTTATAAGGAATTGACTTATTCTGGCATGTGTGACAATATTTTACTATGTACACTGTTTGCAGAAATAAACAAGGAATTTTGGAGCTTAGAATAGACTCAACATTCTGCTGTTCCTGAATTCAAATACTCCCTTTAGAGATAACAACATAAAAATTCAAGTCTTTTCCCCCATGACCACAAGTTTTTTCTAGAAGGTAGAAGTTTTGAAAGTATCCCAAGTAACTATTGATTCAACAAGCTGATTGAAATTCAGCCACTTAGAAATGAATTGACCCTTTAGAAGAAAAGCATTTTTCTTGACATGATTATTTCAGAATGCATAAGGCATATTTGTGTTCATTTCCTGTGAGGATGTTGTCCTGATGGGAAAATTAAATCTACATTATTGGTGGGGGGACAGAGATTAAGAAGAAAAACTACTTTAAAAAATTTTATAGGCAGTGCAAGAGGCAGAGAAGAAACCCAAATCTTTGATCTTAAGCTCAGTATTTTCTCCAGAGTTCTGCTCCACTATTTTGGAGCAAATATTAGTTGGATGATATAGACCAAGCTATAACCTAAGAGGGATCCTACATCCTAATTGGCCTGGGGTGTTCACGGTTCTGTGTGCCTGTTGTTCAGACCTAATAGCATGCTCTTTCTTCTCAAAGTGTTATAGTTCTGATGCTATGTTATACGGTGTGCCTCAGACAACTGTTTGATGAGTCTAGAACCTTCCAGAACAGCTACAGCATGCAGACCTAGTGTCAGCACAGTACAATGAGTGCTGAGGTAGAGATTTTAATGGAATGTTCACTTCATATTGAAGGGGCTCCTTAGCTTTGCCTTGAAGCACCAAAAAGTACTACAAAAGAGCTGACACCAGTCTTTGAAAGGTGACAGAATGATCTGCTAGGGATATCCACCTAGGCTTTTCGCTGCATTGATCTACATTGGATACACAGGTCATACCTTCCTAGATGGAATCCTCCTCATCACTCCTCTGATGCTTGTCCCTACAGCCAACTGAACAGCACTGCAACAAGCCACAGCTTTTGACTGTGCCAATGGACAAAGCAACAACAGAAAACTAGAAATACAAAAGAAGGTTGCTGCAGTTTGAATTATGCAGGAGGCTGATCCTTTGGTATTTCACTGAGATGTTTAAACCCCTATGAACTTTAGGCTGGACTCTAAAAATCCCAGTATCATAGCAGCCTTCTTTGCTCAGATGATTGAGCCCAGAGGAGCAAAGAGACTAACTAATGAAACACTGCAATTTACTTTCTGGGCTGAGACAAAAGTGAGTTTGTTATGCAAAACTGAAATCCTCATTGGTGTTAAATAAACCCAGGTGGCAAGCTTCAAGTCCTGTGGTGTTGGATAACATGCCCAGGACTTGCAAAGTGAGTTCCTAGATTTGGCATTAACATACTGTGTGACTTGGTCCTGTTATTAAAGACACATGACATTTCAGTTTCTTTATCTAGAAGATAGGGATTGGGATTAAAGCCTTCATTACATTGCTGCTGAGTGCCACTTGAGAAGAGTGAAAACTTATGAATTTTGGTATGGGTGGGACAACAGTTACAGAGATGAAATCTGCCCTGTCAGCATGTTATAGGTGTGCGGTCAGACACATCAACCAATAGCACCAACCTGAGCACCAAATTTCTAGAATGTTTTCACTGTGCATAACTAAAATTCTCAGCTTCCATTCCCTCCCCTATAGATCCCTGTTGCACTTTCTGCTCTCTGTTTGTACACTTTTTACTCCTTGTGTAAATGAAGTCATGTAGCGTTGTCAATTACTCAACGCGATGCCTGCCAATTTCATATTACCCAGTGGTTGTCAACCTTCCTAACGCTGTGATCCATTGACAGAGTTCCTTATGCTGTGGTGACCCTAACCATACAATTATTTTTGTTGCTACTCCATAACTGTAATCTTGTTACTAATACAAATCATAACGTAAATATCTGATTTGCAGGAGGTCTGATATGAGCCCCTGAAAGGAAGAGAACCACTGAATAACCTGTTGTGTATGGCAGGATTTCCTTTATTGTTTCCTCTTAAGGCTGAAGAAGAGTATCCCAGTGTGACTAACGACCATAGTTTCAACAGAGCTTCTGCTTTGGATGTTTTGTTCCACAGCTGCTGCTGCTAGCCAAGGCCAAAGAACTTTTACTAACTGACACCCTTTCTATGTCCATCTCCCACAGATGAACCCAGCCGGTGCTATTTCCATGATGGAGATGGGATGTGTGAAGAGTTTGAACAAAAAACTAGCATTAAAGACTGTGGTGTCTACACACCCCAGGGTTTCTTGGATCAGTGGGCATCCAATGCTTCAGTGTCCCATCAAGACCAGCAGTGCCCAGGTTGGGTTGTCATTGGACAGCCGGCAGCATCCCAGGTAAGCTGCTAGCCTTCTGAGGCTCCTGCTGCAGGCTCTTTAATCTCTGCTGTAGTTCTCAAGGCGCCCACTTCAAACGCAGTATCACAGACATCTCCACCTGAGCATTCCTTTCTTTAGCTGAGTGTGATACCAGCCCCTCTTCCGTGCCATTGGTTAAGGATAGGGCCGCGGTGAAGGGGAGGGAATGCATGCATCATGGGAACAACTTCCCCCCACGCTTTTCTAATTATGACACAGAAATGGGAAAGAACTTTGTTTTGAATATACCATTGGAATTCAACTGGGATGAGAACAATTTGGGAAATCTTAGTTTTGGGTTTTGTTTTTGCTTTTTTTTTTTTTTTTTGGACAGGGACTCTCAATTTGTCTGCTTACTAAATTAAGAGCAACCATATACAGATTTACTGTACAGTCTCTCCACCTTTCTGGGTTCCACTTTTCCTCCCCATATTGAACATAGGAGTTTAGCCTGATACACGCCAGGGACATTGCCAGTTCTAAGAAGCTGTGACTCATTCATCAGTTCCCTAATGCACTATTTATATGACATGGTTCTCCCACAGGGGGACTGATAGCCTAGATGAGGGATGGATAGTTTTGGGGCTACTAGAGTTTGTGTGATCCCAGGGATGGCTGTGCCTCCCCAGAGCCTCCTTTGCAATTATCGTGCCCAGAAAACACCTGCCTTCTTTCGAGACTCCCATTTCTCAGCGACGCGATTCAGTACTTCCAACTCTGCAGCACAGTGGCCATTTCTGAAACCACCCTGCCTCCAAGTCTTGCAGATGAGCCATGAGTCCCAGTCATCCCTCTCTAACACAGCTTCTTTATGTCAAGTTCATTGCAGTACAACTGGCGTTTAGATGGATGAGAAATAAGACCTTGGGTTGGGGTCCATTGAGAATTATTGGCTGTGTTGTGAGGCAGCACCTCTTATATGTTCATTTTCGTCTTTATTTGATTGTCTCTTCATCTCTCCAACTTATGTTCACATTACTCAGTTTTTGTTTGCTCATTTGCATGTATGAGTGGATGCCCTTAGGGGAGCGGAAAGATGTGGGTACAGGATCCCCTGGCACCTCTCATGTGCAGTGCCAGCTAGCAATAAATTGGTTAGCATTTTCCTTTTCATTGTGCGGCTTCAGTATTTGGAAGACTCACCTGTATGGTCATACCTTTACAAAGAACTTCAAGGAACTTATCTGTGTACCCTCCGGCCTCCTCCGGTGAACGATCAGAATTTTGAGACTAGACTGGATTTCATTGTTTTTTCCCCCTCCTCAAAGCCCAACATCTAGATAAAGCTAGGTTCCAAGATTGTGTTTTGTTTTGATTGTGAATGCTGACATGTGCACATGAGCACACACATACCTGCATGCAAGTGACACCAAGAGAAGTTGTCCAGCCATTGTCTCTCCATCACATCAAAGTTGCAGAAATTCCAAATTCGACTAACACCCCGTTCTTCAAGCCGTTTGAAAACCATCACTCAAATGAGCAAATTATTAGCATTCTAGCAACCTTTCACATGCAAGAGCATTGGGAACAACTGTGCTTCAAACCTACCCAAAGATTATTGCTAGTAACATGAGCAAAAGGAAAGCATTTCCTTGCCTTATTTGGGAGAGAGAGAGAGAGAGACAGAGAGAGAGAGAGAGACAGAGAGAGAGAGACAGAGAAAGAGACAGAGTGAGAGAGGGAGAGACAGAGAGAGACAGACACACACACCACACACACACAGAGAGAGAGAGAGAGAGAGAGAGAGAGAGAGAGAGAGAGAGAGAGAGAGAGAGAGAGAGAGAGAGAGAGAGAGAGAGACTTGCATGGGACAATTAATCCAATCTTGCAGGAGAAGGTTGTCAGGAATTATGGCTGATTAGTTCTTCCTAAACAAAAATCCAATTAAAAAATCATTATAAATACTAGCTTCTCGATCTATAAAGAGGAGAGGAGGAAACAAAATCATCCTATTGAATTATTCATTGTTACCAATTTTATTTTAATGAAATCGACTAGGTTCCATTACTCTGAGCTGGGATACAATCTTTGTTACAAGGAGACTTCAGCTGTAACTAAATTTGCCATAATGAGATCAGCTCGATGGAGTATACAGGGTCAGTGTGTGTAAGCTGGATGCATAATCAGGAAAACGGAGTTTTGGAGGGTACACAACAACACGGTCCCAGTCCCCCTACTTGAAAACAAATGCCCTATCCTACATATATACATGTGCCTGTGCACACAGGTACAGCCATGTGCATACAGACATACAGGTACTCATACAGACAGCATAAAGTCAGCCTCCTTCGGGGTAAGCACTATTCTTGAAGTGAAGGTATTGTTCCCTTCTGACAACAGCAAAAGAGAAAACATGACTGTGCCCCCTCATTACCTTGCTCAGTGATTAGAGGAGCCTAGTAGTTAATTTGCACCCTGTCAGGGCCTCTAGAGAAGATGTTGATGGAGAGAGAGGAGGAGCTCGAGGCTCTTGATTGTTGGATTGAAGAATAAGATAGAAAGGTGTTCCCATGGTCCCTCAGCTTCCTTAGGCATGGTCTTCCTCTCCTTTCCCTTTCTTCCCCTCCTTTTCAACCCCTCTTTCCTTTCTCCCATCCTGTCCTCAACCTTTACCCTTATGCTCCGCCCACACATGCATATATGAATAGGCCCATAGGAGTGCAGTCCAGACACTGATCAGATCTAATACAGGAAAATAGAGGGAAAGCCAGTAGTGGCTAAATTTCACCACCCATTATGCCAACCATACACATTTATAGCCAACTACCTTGCCTTCTTCATAGTAGACCATCTGTTATCCATCTTGGAGACTTGGAAGAAGGCAGTGGTCTCCGAAATCAGTACATATTCTGCATGTAAATGATCTAATCTTAGAGAAATACTTTAGAAGATGACAGTGGAAGCCTAGAAATTTGAAGCCATATCCAAAGTAGGGATGCCAGGGAAACAGGCAGAGTTCTAGATGACAGGTGTCAGGGACTCAAATCCTTCTGGAGCAGAATCCCAGTCTCTTGGAACTGTGGCTGCTCCCACTCCCTGTCACACACACCAGCCCTCTTCTGCAGTCTTCAGTCTTCACCAGGACAAGCATGACCTGAGGGATTATGAAAAAGGCCAGCCATTCCCTCCTCCCCTTTACAATCTATTTTGTTTCACTCTCTGTGATGTTACGAAAATGAGAAAACTCAAGTACTTGCTTTTACTATGTACCCACACCTACAACGGTGTAAGGCCCCATCTCTAACCTCTGTGTTCTGTATGACATAGGTGTGAGAACTCTCTCCTAATCATACCTGCGTCAGAATAATTCTGCAGGCGCTTGTGACTAGTGAGAACGAGAAGCAATGTGTGTTATGCGAGCTTAGAATACCAATCTAAACTTGACCTTTGCTTTTGCATAAACCCTGCCACTTCTAATGATTTCCAGTCTCTCTCCCCCATTCTCCTTGAGCAAGTTTCCCAAATTTGGTTATAGTAAAGCTACCCACGAATGCTGAGTCTTCTATCCAAATGTTATCAGACATATCAAAGCTTCCTGGTTGTGCAAATTGGGCCGAATATCCTATAATAAGAGGCATTCTTTGGATGTTTGGACCATGTACCTTCCTGACCCAGCTGGAATAAAAAAAGTTCCTCTAAGTGAACAAAAATGGAAATGAAGAAAGAGAGTCAGTTATCTCTCTTCTGGGAACCTTAGAAATGGTTCAGTTTGGTTTGGTTTAAGTGCTTGCAAAGATCTTGTCTTGTTCATACTTTGTCTCCATGTCTCACATTTCTCTAATGCTTTCCACCAAGGGCTGCCAAAATGTGAAGTAGATATGCCTCCCTTATGTTCTCATCCTCAGAGCTCCTAAGACTACTTCATTCTGTCTAAACAGGCAGCTCCCCTTTGCCAGGGCTTAAGGAAGAGATGGAGATGCTCTGGTGCTCTCTCGGGGACTATAAATCATCAGTCAACAGCCTGTTTATTGGATTAAGCATTTGAGGGTAAACTTGGACTGACCATTTCCAGGGCAGTGGTTTGAGGGCCACAGTAGAGCAAACCCTTTGTAAGGATAAATGAGAAATGAGACCTAGCCACACTGAGGGGAGGACTGTGATACCTTAAGCTCCTCACATTATGAGGCTTTCTGGCGAGTTCAGGCTCGACTGCTTCTTCTGTGGAGATTCCTGCGCTACAGAGCAGATGGGGACTCTTCACAACCACTCTTTTGTATTGCTTTTGATTGGATATGCTATTATCCTTTTGGGGGGTAAGTCAGCCCTTTGCAAGTTCATTCAGATTTATTATCATCCAGCCCCTTGACATGCTCATCTTACTTTTTGCCTCCATTAAAATACAAACCAGGACATATCTTGTAGTCGTACAATCTATGAGTCATTTTGCTCATTTATTTGGTCAAAGACAGGCGTGCTTTTCGCCTACATCAATGGGTATGAAAGGGAGAGCATGAACAATAACAAGGCAAAGGGGAAATCACAGAGAGTTACTTTACATCTAAACTCTAACACATGCCAATCTGACTTTGCCCTCCTAACTATTGCTTCTGGAAGCACTGGGCAACCAACTCCGCCAGGAAGCTCAGTTTCCTCCTTTCAGAAATGGGAATAGCATCTACATGGCAGAGATTAAGGCTTCAGAAAAAACAGTGCACACTGGCTTTTTGTACTAAGTGGTAGTACCAATGTCAAATGACCTGCCTCATTCTTCTTAGGTGCCTCTATACACTTTCACTGACCACAGTGACCCATACAGGAGAGACAACTGGCTAACTATCATCCAGTTTATCACAATCTCATCAGCACACATTTGCTGCACACCCAGGACTGTACCAGGCACTTTGGGAATCTCCAAGAAAGCCAAGAGCCTCTTGATGCTCCCAGAGAGCTTACTGTCACACCTGAGGGGTGTGTGCACCTGGAAACAGTAGTCAAAGATCTCAAGGTGTAAAATCCCGAGCAAATTCTCCGAGGAAGAA